AATATGTCCTTCCTTCCTGAGCTGAGCATAACTTTGAATAATCAATTTTTATTCAGACCACCTGAAGAGTTATAACAAACCCAGTCTGTTTCTTTGGCAACCGACAGGAGATTCTGGCACATAAAAGGCACTGAAATCAGTTGCTGAATAAATGAAAAGGAGATACATTTCAAAATAAAGAGATGTAATTAAAAGTATTCCACTCTCTCTCAATAAATTTTAAGGAGTTTGAAAAAACATATAAAAATATCTACAATACTGGATTAATATTGCTATATTCTACTGAAAAGAAATTCCTAGAATTTATTAATGTTAGCCCAATAATCCTCAAAAAACGCTTCTGAGGTGGAAACTGTTATCTCCTAATTCATATGACAAGCCGATATCAAAATCTGGTAGTAATACCTCATTTTTCAGAAACTTCTAGTATCAAAACATAAATGTGCATCATAATCATCTTTGCTCTTTTTTAAGATAGAACTTTCAGGGCCAGAGTATGGACATCTATGGAAAGATGACTACAGGTGACTAATGTACAACCAGGAGGGAGAACCACAAACATGAATACTCAGAGATTAAGTCTACCCAGACTTTTCACACACTCTTAATAACATATCCATGGCCCTACACCCCAATAAAACAAAAAAAGAATCAAAAGGGGCAAAGGAAAGTGATATGGCCACACAGTCTAGCAATATAAAAACGAATGGCATGTCATTAAAGAAGGAGAGAGTAAAGCTATCATAAGCAGTAAAACTCTTTAAAATCAAAAACAAAGTCTAGCAGTCAGGAGTTTTCAGAGTGGGGGGAGAAGAACCTATAAAATCTCAGTCCTCTGAAGGGCTTCATTGTAATACCTAATTATTTGTAATGTTATGTTAGTCCTAAGACGTTAAAAGGTGAATTATGTTCAATTGCAGTATATTTAAAAAGAAAATACATTAAGCATCTCCAAAAGTGTGGTTAAAATAAAATGAAATCTGACATTTAAAAGGGGTCAGCTTCTATTATGCAAAAAATTTACTTTCATAAAAACTCTCATTCTATGATAGTACCAAATAACCTGATCTAGAATAATATAACCCTAGCTATAGATAATATTCCCTAGCTCAATCACACTCTTTTTCATCAAACACACTGCCAAGTTTATTTTGGCAATTTTCAAATATCAAAGCCTACCTTAAAATGACTAAGCTTTTCCACTGTGCCGAAGCCCTTTCTGTCCATTCACCCATTAAAGATGATGAGGCTTTGCCATTTGACAACTGTTCAGAACCAATTATTGCTTATGATCCATGGCAGCTAGAGATGGCATAATATAGTACTTCTTACCACAAAGCTTATCTTGAACAGAGCTACATTTACATGGTAAGATCTGATGTTTTTACTAAAAATCCATCACATTATTTTAATGTAACATGACACAATGGTGACACATAATCAGATATGCATAATGGCAAAATTTAAGATTTAAGAAATGTGTTGGAGGAAAATGAAGCCGTCTGAGCATAATAAATTATAATTCTTTAAGAAACTTAAAACTTTTTAAGAAATTTAAAATACTATATTATTTTATAAACATGAGATAAACTTCTTTCTCTTCATATAAAATGGCAAGAGCAATTACTTTAATAAAAGATCTAAGCATAAAAATTTTTAAACATACAACTGAGAAAATATAAAATAGCTCATTAGTTATGTCTCGAAGTTCTAAGACTCCAAACACACACAAAAAAATTACTTGGAGACTGTAGCTAGTATTAAACACAGCCCACAACTCCCTGTCCATTAAATTTAAGATGTCAGGACAATTTAAGAATTTTTTTTGTTATTCTTTTTTTTTTTTAAAGTCTCACTTTGTTGCCCTTGCTAAAGTGCCATGGCATCATAGCTCACAGCAACCTCAAACTCCTGGGCTCAAGCGATCCTCTTGCCTCAGCCTCCTGAATAGCTAAGACTACAGATGCCCGCCACAACACCTGGCAATTTTTAGAGATGGGGGTTCTCACTCTTGCTTAGGCTGGTTTTGAACTCCTGGGCTCAGCCTCCCACAGTTCTAGGATAACAAGTGTGAGCTACTGCAACTGAACTTGTTTTGTTATTTTTACACCCCTGTCTGCTGCATATTACTTCTAGTCACTTCATCTTCCTAAGATTTTCCTAAAAAGACTACCCTATTTTTTCTCATATACACTACACTCAGAATATGCCAAATCCTTCATCTAGCCACTACATAGATAAATATTTAAATACCTTTAGAAGTATTATAAAGTAACACATTATAAATGAGTTAATCTCAAATTAGACAAGTAAAACAGCTTAAGCCCTCTATAAAATCTGATCTATATTTAGAAACACCTAAAACATAACACCAAATAAAGATTCCAATACCCTTCTGAAAGATAATAATTTGAGTTTCAGTCAGAATTTAAGACAGACATTTCACTAAAGAACAGCACCAGAAAAACATGGTAATAAACTATGCAGGAAAATGTAGAACTTAACATATATTATGTTGTTTTTAATTACTTGAAATAAATGAACCAGATTCCCCACAGATCAGCAGTAAACTCAATCCCTATCACAATTTTAGAAATTATTTTTCCCCTTGAATTCTGGTATTATTCTATACATGAGGAACTTGACTTATTCATTAATGTAAACCAAAAAAAAGTACCTCATGAAATACTGAGAAAAACAACTTCAAAAAAAGAAAGAGCAAAAAGAAAAGGCAGAGAAGGGAAGGAGATTTCGCAAATATAAAATTCCAGTGAAAATGAAAAACAAAGTTTAGTGTGATCAGAAATTAAAGAAATTCAAAATTAAACTATAATGAGACTCTTAGCTGTAAGAAAAGTCTGATATTCAAGGCCAGTGAAAGTATAGACAGATACACCTCGGGTCTACTGCAGGTAGGAATGCAATTGGTATAATGTTTGTAGATGGAGTAACATTATCAAGAAACCTTTATAAAAGTTCACAGAGATAAATATTTTAAGAGCAATGTGATTTAAAATGGAAACAATACAACATGCCAGTAAAATACTAACAACCAATATATAGTAATCATTAAATGTGACCTATTAAAAAACAATACATTATGCAGCCAATAAAATGTTTATAAATAGCATTAATAACTTTAAGTGTAAAAACAGCATACATACACGTTGAATGTAAAAAATCAGGAAATTAAATCTATACTCATATCTATATTCCACACAAATTTGAAAAAAATAGAAAAAGAGTGTGGCAGAAAATCAAAATAGTTATCTTTAGGAAGTTAGTTTAGTCTCTGTGTTTTTCTACCTTGCTATAATAGGCATAATTACATAACCTATAAGTAGTGGTATATACTGGTAAATATGCAACAACCAGTTAGGAACTCAGGGTGTAAGAAAAGTGTTCACTGATTTCTCTGGTGTAAATATTCCTACCGTGGCTAATTATAAGCTGCCAATGGTTTTAGCAACTGGCATGTAAAACTTCCAAAAATTTAGCTATCTCCTCTTACAAGCCACACAAACTGGTTCCAGCACACCAATGAGTCCAAAAGTCTACAAAATATGTAAATAATGGGTGGGGCCTGTGGCTCAAGGAGTAGGGCACTGGCCCCATATACCGGAGGTGGCAGGTTCAAACCCAGCTCGGGCCAAAAACTGCAATAAAAAATAAATAAATAAAAATAATGATTAGGATTTTAAATCACAAATAAAAGCAGCAAACACAAAAAATCATGTTATAAATTTTTAAATGCCTTCTTCACTACATGAGAAGAAAGATGAAGATTAACTATAAAGACAAATATACTACATAGAGGTTCAGAGAATTTCTAGGGATACCAAAAATGCTATCTATAGTCAACTACTACTGTACTTAAAAATAAACAAACAGGGCTCGGCGCCTATAGCTCAACCGGCTAAGGCGCCAGCCACGTACACCTAAGGTGGCGGGTTCGAGTCCCCAGCCC